AAGTGGTATTTCTGGGTCAAAGGACATGCACAATTTCATAGCCCTTTGGGCATAGTTCCAAATTGCAGAGCCCAACTTTAACATAAGGTTCAAAGTCATGAGATATACTGGAAAAATGAGCAAACAACAACAACATATGGACTTGACCATAAAAGGCTACTATGGTGGCAGGGAAGACCAAAACAACAGAAGAAGAAAACAACGTGAAAGCAGCTTTAAGTACACCCTATAAGAAAAATGCTAATTGGGGGGCAGCTAGGTGGTGCAATGGATAGAGCACCGGCCCTGAAGTCAGGAGGACCTGAATTCAAATCCGGCCTCAGACCAAACACTTGACACTTACTAGCTGTGTGACCCTGGGCAAGTCACTTAACCCCAATTGCCTAAACACAAGAAAAAAACAAAAAAATGCTAATTGGACCCAAGCCTAAGAAGAATTCCTGAAAGAATTCAAGAGAGAAGAGTGGTAGAAGAAAAACTGGGAAAAGAAATGAGAGTGACACAAGAAAATTATGAAAAGAGAATTAACAGCTTGGTAAAAGAGGTACAAAAATACTAAAGCTAAATAGATTTCATTAAAAGAGATATGCAAGCAAACTACATTATGTTAAAAGGTACTATAGATCATGAAGTAAAGTCAATACTAAACATATATACACCAAATGTTATAGCATCCAAGTTTATAAAGAAAAATATAAATGAAATACAAGTCGAAATAGACAGGAAAACCATAATAGTGAGGGACTTCAACTTTCCCTATCAGAACTAGATAAATCTAACCAAAAACAAATAAGAAAAAAGTCAAGAAGGTAAATAGAATCTTGGATAAGCTTAAATGACAGACTTCTTGAGAGCACTGAATGGGAATAGAAACAAATATGCTTTTTTTTATTAAATAATTTATTTATTTTTAGTTTTCAACATTCACTTCCATAAGATTTTGAGTTTTAAATTTTCTTCCCCTTCCTCTTCTCCCCTCTCCCCAATATGGCATGCAATCTGATATAGGTTCTACTTACACATTCATATTAAGCATATTTTCACATTAGTTACAAGTAAAAAAGAATTAAAACTAATAGGAGGAACCACAAGAAAGAAAAAACAAAACAAAACAATAAAAGAAAAGGAGAGCAAATAGTATGCTTCCATTTGCAATGTATACACTTTTTTCTCAGCTGTATACTCCACCTCTATAAAAACTGACCATATATTTATATTTGGGCATAAAAACTTTATAGTCAAATGTAGAAAAGCAGAAATATTAAATGCATCCTTTACAGATTATAACATAATAAAAATTACATTTAATAAAAGACCATGGAAACAGACTAAAATTAATTGAAAACTAAACAATCTAATCTTAAAAATTACAGAATCACAGAAACAATAAATTTATAAAAGAATAATAATATTGAGACAACATATCATAACTTAAGGGATCATTCAAAAGCAGTAATCAGAGGAAAATTTATATTTTAAATGTTTATATCAATAAAATAAAGAGCAGATGAATTGTGTGTGCAACTAAAAAAAACTAGAAGAACAACAAATTAGAAATCTCCAATTAAACATCAAATTGGAAATCCTGAAAATCAAAGGAGAGATTAATAAAATTGTAATTAACAAAACCATTGAATTAATAAATAAAACTAGGGGCCAGTTTTATGAAAAAATAAAATAAAATAAACCATTTGTTAATATGAATTTTTAAAAAAGAAAACTAAATCATCAGTATCAAAAATGAAAAGGATGAATACACCACTAATAAAAAAGTAAAGCAATTATTAGTAGTCATTTGCCCAATTATATGCCAAAAATTTAATAATCTAAGTGAAAGGGAAGAATACTTAACAAAAGTATAAACTGCTCAGATTGACAAAAGAGGAAATTGAATATCTAAATAAACTTATTTTAGAA